TTAGTTTAAAATACCTGCAACAAAATCAACCTTAAGTTTTGTGGAAATATGGGATTTGTTATGTGGTGAAAAGCTTTGTCTTCCTTTTTTTTAAAAAAAACAAGAAAATATGTGAGTGGAAGAACAGTTTAAACTTAATCTAAATATTTGTGCAAGATCTCTTTTAAAACTTGGCACAATGCATTATTTCATATGATTGCTAGATTGATACTTGATTTGAGCTTCCTCAACAAATGTTCTAAAAAAAATCTGCCATTTGTATTTTATACATGGAGAGGTCATAAGAACATAATGATAGAGGGTGGAGAACAGATCCTGCACCCTCATATCACTGATAAAACATTATATTTTAAAAAATAAATGGAAAAACCTATTATTAAGCAGCCCATCAAAGGGCAGAGATGCTCTTTGATGTACATGCAATATTTTTGTCCCACTCCAATATAATAAAGTTCTATGAACTTTTCAGGCTTGACCAGAGCATAGAATGTTACATTACAATGTTTAAATTTCCTGCAGAGACCTTGAGGTACAGAGTTGTCTCTCTTGCCTTAAAGAGGATCAAGTTAGCAATAGTTTTTCCCCCCAATAGTCTGCTTCCAGCATGAAGAATTCAGAGATCTTTCTCTTCCACATTGCTAGCTAAACAGGCCACAAGAGGCATAGCTATTTCATTGCTTTCTTCTGTGGCTTTATGGTGTTTGCTGTGTATTATATTAGGCTGAGCTGTTGCCGTTAAGCTATTTTTCTGATAACAGATGATTGGAGACTTTTACAGTCCCCAACCCTAGAAGAACTGCACCGTTGCATATTTTGCTTTTTGTTATTTGTTGAGAATTAGGCAAAAAAATATATGCAGTGTATACTATGTACTCTAGCCCTTCCCCATTTTGCATTTCCACATGACAATACATTGTCAGCTATCATAGGCCATTACCTGTACCAGGGGTGGGTTCTGGCAGGCACTACTGCTGGTTCGTTTGTGTACGCGCATTGTGTATGTATGCATGTGCAGTGCAATTAAAATTGTTCTGTGCATGTGCAGAACTGTAAACAAGATGGTGCCTGCACCTGGGGAACTAGTTTGGGGATATGGCAGGCCTGGGTTGCTGCCGGTTCCAGCAACCTAGGCCGCCAAACAACTACTGGTTCAGCCGAACCAGTCTGAACTGTTAGGAACCCACCACTGCCCTGTGTAAATAGCAATTATGAACATTTAGTCCATCATAGCTAGTGGGCACTAGTCTGGGGAAAGTCACCCTTTTTTATCTGCATATTCTTACTATATTCTTACTATATTCAATCCTATTTTAGGAATTAGAGATTGGATACATGCCCATTTCTCAGACTAAACACAGCTTCTGGTTGAAGAATAGCAGCAAGATTATCCTTCCTTCCCAATTCACTCAAATCAACATAGGTAATACTAAACTCATTCCAGAAAAAAAACCTTCTCTTATCTCTAGCATAATAATACTGATACCTGCCACATAACACCCCAGTATTGTCAACAAGAAAGACAAAAAAGGCTAGATAGTGGACTTAGCAGTACCTGATACAGCAGAATAGAAAAGAAAGGACTGGAGAAGATAACAAAATAATAAAACAGCTGTGGCAAAAGAAAGCAAAGGTAGTACCAATAGTAATAGACATCTAGACTGCAATTCCAAAACAAGTGGAGCACCACTGAACACCATTGACATTGACAAATTTACCATCAGTCAATTGTAAAAGGCAGCTTTACCTGGAACAGTTTGTATCTTGTGACAATACCTTTAATACCATCAAACAACAATATCTGCCTATTCCGGTTTTGGAAGGACTTGATGTGTGAATAAGACTGCTAAATCCAGTCTAAACATCTGGCTGACTGTGTGACCAACCATGATAACTTATTATCAAACATACATTAGTAATGTCTACAGGAAAAGTCAAGAAATCAACATGGTGATCTCAGTTGTCTGAGCAATTCCTTTCCTTTTCATATATATGTCAAGGAGGCACACAGCTACAAAAGTGTAAAGATTCAAGTGTATTTCTTCAACTGCCATCTTGACCTTTTGATCCCCTTGATGCCATTAATGGCTGCCTAAGCATTTGCCACACTTCCCTAATAGCAGGAATGTCATTAGATCATGAAAATATTTTCCCCCTCCTAGGCGCTTTACCCATTAGTGTAATATATTTTAAGCACAGAGATATTTTTTGTTTTGCAAATAATGCTTGTTTCTTTGTAGTTTCATTTAATCGCAACAGCTATTAGTCTTCTGAGCATAATAAATGCATTTTATCTATTGCTCCAAGTATAACAAATAATGGTTTCTGTTTCAGAAAACTGAAACATGGAAAAAAACATAGTCTCTTAGGGAAGTAGGAATAAAACAATCATACTAGTATTTTTATACAGCTAGTTTTAATTCTATGAATGACTTAAAAAGAAGATTCATTTAATCTTCAAATAGAATTCAACCCCAGACGTCAGAATGTGTTTATGATGTGTGAGTGCAACAAATCCAATAACTGTTGCCAGGTGTGAGAATGGGTGGTTGCAGATATTTTAGAAACATTTAAATAATTTAATAGAAGTAGTGAGCCTTCTGTAAAACATAATTGCTTTATTTATTTTGGAAAGACAAGTTAATGTTTACAGCTCAATTGCCTTCATATTGTACAATGAATGAAGAGGGTTAATCAATGAACTTTAGCCTAGGATTAGGATTAAGGTCTAGGTTTCAGTTCAAATGGAACTGAAATTTCTTTCAAATTCCTACTTGCTTATCGCAATATTTCTCCAGCTATATCAGTTTCCTGGCCAAAAAAAACCTATTTTTTTTTCATTTACTATAATGATGAATATTAGGCTATAATGGCACCATGGGCATCTGATAATAACACAAATCTACATATCCATACTGAAGCAGAAGTCAGGTCATCCATCAGGTTTACAATAAACGTTTAAGAAATTTAACACATAATACATGGCAATATTATGAAGCCAGTGGAAAACTTTAACTATGTGACTGAGAAAGATAAATACAGAGAATAATATGAAAAAGAAAGAACACATCCAAGATATGAAATTGACAACACATTGCATTATATCTCTACTTCTATTTGTTTAAAACACTTTTTTTCACAAATATGGCTATCTAAACATTAATGTCTAATCTTGGCTGCAAGGTACTATAAAACCATAAACCTGGTTTAAACTATGCCAGAAAACTATCATGCTAGCGATGCTAACATCTCTTTCTCTGTTCTGAAAGAGATGGAAGTTGCAATCTCAAAAGTAATGAGAAGGAGTTAATATACAGAATAGAATACAGAATAATAGAGTTGGAAGGGACCTTGGAGGTCTTCTAGTCCAACCCCCTGCCCAAGCAGGAGACTATACAATTTCAGACAAATGGCTGTCCAGTCTCTTCTTAAAAGCCTCCAGTGATGAAGCACCAACAAGCTGAAGACAAGCCGTTCCACTGCTTAATTGTTCTCACTGTTCATACTGGAGCACAGAACAATTTATTTTCAAAGGAAAAAACATTAGGATCAAATGTAAGAGGAAATTATCACCATACCACCCCTAAAAGGCTACAGTTTTGAAAAAAATATATCCATGTTACAAATTTATAAAGATGCATAGATGCTTAAATTTAACTGTGAAGTTGAATAACATCAGAGTATGATGAGACTTCTAAATATGCAAAGCTTCTATTTCTGTATGTTTAACTTGAAAAGCATCCAGTTTATACAAGGCAAGGTTCTTTTAAATATAATCTGAAATCAAACAAAGATACACTCTCAGACCTCAGTTTAGCAAGTTTAACTCAGACAAATATTGCACCAAACTAGTTTTGCTTTTGAGACTGCAGGCTAGTTATCCTAGCAAGCAAGATGAATCCATAAATCAAGACCACAAGAGGCTAATGTATTTAAAAAAGAAAAATGGAGCCTCTGCAAAAATGAACAATATACCTTTTTTAAAAGTACAGAAAATTAATTATTGCTCTGCTGTGAATGTTGAATTCCAGCTGAGCATAAGACAATATAGCTTATCTGCTATTTTGTTTAAATCACTGTGGCCCAAGGTCTTGTTTTGAAGCGGTTTTTTTTCCCCAAATCTGAAAAAAAGGCTTGCAGTTATAGTTAGTATTTGTAATGCTTGCTGTGAAATCCACCAATATTGTGGGTGATGTGGACAAGAGGGAGAAGAAACTTTTGAGATAAATGGAAAAACAATAAAACAAGAAAGCCAGCAAACACTTAAGATAAGACTCCATGAAGGTTAGAATGACTTCTGTTAGAAACATCATTTTATTGACTTAACTTGATAATGTGCAAAGAAAGGCTACATTTTCAGGCAGGAGAGTCACCTTTGGCTTCTCAGCAGCATGCCAAAGATTGCACTCCAGAAAAGAGGCAAGGTCAAGACAAAGAAAGGGATTGAATGATAACAAGAGTTCATGTTAATTGAATTAATTGTAATTGCACAAATTAAAAATAGTTAATAGGCTTACTTTTCAGATATTCTGTAATCAGGCACATCCACAGGGGTCAAAAAATTAAGATGGTGGCCATGAACAGGTAATCAAAATCCTACCCTTTTCATATGTATTGCAATGCATATAAAAAGGGTAGTGCTTGCCGCTGCTGTCTTGACTTTTTGACTTCTCTTGTAGATAATTTCTCTACAAGTTTTAACAATTATAAATTACTAATTCTTCTTCAAAGAAAAGCCAACCTTTTGGAGGAGCTAAAGCTCAACTATACATGTGTACATGTATGTATATGTAGATATATACATGGGTGTAACTGTGTGTGTGTGTGCACGTGCATGTGCATGCACACACATACATTCACACACATATATATATAATATTTGGTTTATGAGAATGGATCAAGCTAAAACAACATTTTCAATCTTACTACCCTCTAGATCAGGGCTGTCAAACTCCCAGCCCATGGACCGGATGCATCATGCACTGGCCACGCCCATGCCCAGTTTAGCGAAGGGGAGGAAAGTCCTGACACATCATGTGATGCCACTGTGATGATGTGAGTTTGACACTCCTGGTCTAGATAAAGAGGGTGACAACTGTGTGACTGCAATTCAATATATTTGAAAGACATTAGGAAATCTAAACGAAAGAAGTTGGAAACAGGTATCTATTAAAGTTCCAAATGATTTTGATCATTGATTTCTTGTAACACTGAATCCTAACCTTCCATAAGATTCTTGACATATTTTTTTCTGGTGAAAATTAGTGCTTGAATTTCACTTTACTTATTGATAATATACCCATTTTTTCACATGCTAATCCACACAACTTCATTAGTTTCAAATGCAGTAAGCCAGACCTTCCATATTTAATAGCCGTCCTTCTTTTTTTTGTGGACCCAGGGCACCAATTCTTGTTCAATTCACATTAGTGGATAGATCATTAAATGTCATATCATATGGTAGAGGAGTGAGGTCATATGCTGCATATCACTTCAAGCAGAAGCATTCAACATAACACTTTAAAGATTCAAGGAACAAGCCATCATTAATTGTCCAAATAACCTTTCCGTGTACTTGTTGAAATCAAAGAAAAGCCAACTTGAATTATAGCTATAGACAGTACAACTTTTCTAGGGCCAAGAGCTAAAATGGTCTTTGACTGGCATGCTACTGGTTGTACTTCCCAAAAAGAGAACATGGGATGGATAAGGTCAGAACAAAATCTATGTATTTAATTATTCTTTGTTTCTACAGCATTAATATATTTTTTTAATTTGTAGAAACTTTAAGGTCATAGTCAATTCAGTTGGGCGGTGGTTCTCAATCATTTATTCACCATGGACCTCTTTTAAATATCTTTTGTGGCCACAGACCATGGCCATGAATCCCCATGACTTAAGTCAAGATTTAAATCATAACATTTCTTCAATCCTTTGGGGTCCCCTCTAATGACATTGCAGCTGCCCTCCAGGAGTCCGCAGGTCACAGGTTTAGAACATTTGCCCACAGAATGTTAAATCATGGAATGATCAACTCAATTGACTATGTCCTGTACAATATGTATATATCTGTATGTGTGTTTTTATTTGATGTATTTTTAATCATTGGTATTTAAACAAACAATGGGAATCATGAGCATGTGATTGAAAGCATCATCTTGACTTTTTTCAATCCTCCCATAGATAATCCTGACATATATGAATGATTAAGAAAATGGTCAGTAGTTGCAGAACCAATTTTAGAAACCCTTTTACACATATTTATTCATGGATTCTCCTTTCTTCTTTAGGTTTTCTTTTATTGACAAATTTATTTACAGAAAAATATTGTTAAATCAACAGGAATGATGGAATGCTTGCTAATGTACTGTAGGTCTCTTGTAAATATATCAAAAGATTCCAATCAACATTTTGCCAAGAGTGTTTGTGATGGACACAATAAACACTTTGGCCTGGGAAGTTGACTCATAGACTTTGGGTCGCAACCTGTCCCATTTTATAGGAATTCCATGAAAGTAGAAAAAAAACGTGAAAAAAAATTCAAATATGTGGACATGATTGGGTTTATTGTTAACAGAAGCTATCTTAATCATACCTGTTCTTGATTTAAATGCCTAAGTTGAGGTAATGACTTACTACACTATGAAGCAATCTGTATAATGTGATGCTATGGATTTCATTTGTGGTTCATGACCAAATCAGAAATATGAAGCTACTGTCCTAATGGCAGATAATGCTTGAAACCTTTTTAAGTAGCATCTCTATAAATGATGCTGATCTCTTCCCTCCCTGCTATTTTTCTGCTTGCAACTTTTTTTCCCCATCCAGCAAATTTCTCCTACCAGGTCAAAAGTATTGAGGGGCAGGGGCAATAGAGGACAAGGGTCAAAATTTCCAACATGCATTGCATCTCACTTCTATTTTTAGGAAATTGGTACAACCTTAGTCTGACACAGTGACCTCTTGACATTATGTTGAATTTGACTTCAAATCCTTGGAGTTCTTATTAAAATCATTGAGAATTAGTAACTTATTTGTTGATTGAAAAGTTGCATATAAAGATAAGAAACCTGATCTATAGGACTCAACTTTTATGGGTCAGCAGTGTGGGACAACAAACATCAAAATCTCCAGCATATTTACCAACTTGAAAAAGAATATATTCTCAATGAATAATCAGTGTTCCCGTACTATTTAAACCACCAGCTACAGAATGCATATTGAAACTGAATTTCAGTATTTTATTTTTATGTACATTTCAATATTTTTCACCTGGAAAGAAAAAGTCTAAATACAGACAGACTGTAAATGTTGTAAGTGTATAGCTCTCAACAATAATTTAGCTGAATATATGCTTTGTACAGAATGCTGTCTTCTTAAATGGAGTTTACAGCTACATTGATAAAATGGATTCCTCATTTCCTTGTTTTGTTTTTAACCTATAATAAGCAGAAGAAAGAGAGGAGAGAGAAAGAGACAATTACAAGTTAATATTAATCAGCAGCTGAAATAACACTGGTTAAACTATGTACAGTACAAACCATTCATACAAATGAGGACTAGGATATTGAATTTGTTACAATATTGTGTAATAAAGATAAGACAGACATTTACAACTTACAGGTTGCCTTTCAGGCATTTTTCTTTCCTACATGGTGATTGTAGGACTTCTCAGTTGGGGATGACTGCAAAGTTGAACCTATCTGTCTGAAGTGATGACTATCAGGACGCAAAAAATCATCAGGTCTGTTAACATGTAAATTCCAAATGTTTGCTCATCTTTATTTGTTCAATAGGCCCCCCCTGCAGAATAAGAGCCACCTAACATCACCTTGAATGTGCCCACAGTGTGCTGGAGAAAAGTCACTATCCTAAATTGTGTTCAGATCAAGAGAACTACTGAACTCTAAACACACACATATCCCCTGCCACCCACCCCCATCCCAGTTTTGAATAAGCAATTACTCCTACACAGTAATATTTACCAGTACAGCTACTTCAAGTGAAGGAATGCATGAATGGGGATTACTGATTATCATGTATTCAAGACTTAGATTTCCATAACATTGGCTATTTCCATAACCATTCTTTAGCTAATTAATCTGTTTTGCTTGATGACAGATGATCCTGAACATAGCAGACGATGAAAGTCATCTTAAGAGGTACCTCTGTAGATGCAAAGAGGAAGAAGGAAAGAGAAAGAGAAACCATATGTGGCATCATTTAAATAGTGATTTACAACTGGACTGATATGTAATGGAGCTGACTGGGCAGAAATGATTAGATTGGCTTCCGTTAACATATTTGCAGCCAGTTGATATCAGCAGCAAAATGTAGACACATTCTGGGCAAAAGTTGTGGCCTTCTTCTTTGAGGTAATAGCCCTGTCATATGACCTCTTTTATTTGATTTGATTTATTTTATTCCTTGGGATCCTCAGTCTTAGATGTATGGTCTGCTTCAACCTGAAGGGAAGTATGGTGTGTCGCTATGGTAGTTGTAATCTGGGCATACTTTCTGTACTAGTTTATAATCTGTACTATAAAAGGAAATGTAAATACAGATTACTTTAAAGGGCTTGGAGCAGAGCCATGAGACGTGACTTTGGGTTTGCTCCTGGTAACATGTTTTAGAAGGATCATAGTTGCAGAGCGTGTTCTTGGTGGCTTTGTCAACCTTTTCATACTCAATGCGGCAGTTGAAGGACTTGGAATCTTTGGCATCAATCACTGTTTGTTGTGCCAAGTCAAATTCTACTATTTTGGTTGGGGGCACCAAGCTCACTGATACATTCCCTTGGCCAGTTGAATTATGCCTAAAGTAAACACTGAATGTCCCGTTGCCATGATCAACTATTTTCCCAGTTATCAATAGGTTTAGCTTGACTGTCTTGATATTGGAATGAAAATCGCCCCAGCCAAACATTTTCTTAAACTTCCCAGTCTTGACAATGGGCCGTCGCTTTGCTCTGGATCGAGGCTCTTGAAGATCCGTGGAGTTCCTCAGCCACTCCCATAAATCTTGCTCCGAATAAGTTTCAGGAGCATCATACCGCATACTCAAATCTGTTTCATTTTCTTTTCTGCGAAAAGTCTGTGACAGCAGCCGGCTGATCGATAAGTCTTTGCTGCTTTCTGTCCATATGTGCTTTAGTATGGATTTGGAACTGCCTGCTTTTAGAAGTTCTGATTTGCCACCACTGCTTAAATTTGCACAGGTGACCTGAAAAATCAAGAACAAAAACACACTTAGACACATGAATACATATTCTGTTCCCTTTCAAATCTGCTGAACTGCTGGTCTAAAAGTAGCTCAAATGCTGTTACAGATAGTCCTTGACTTATGACTGTTTGTTTAATGATGGCTCATATGACAGCCTTGGGGAAAGTGACTTATGACCCAGCCTTGAAGTTACAATTGTTACACCATCCCCATGGTCACAAGATCACAATTTGGGCACTTGGCAACCAGTCTGCATTTAAACAGCTGAGCAACTTGTGTTTTATGAAATCATGATTTGCAATCTTCCCAGCCAACTTCTGATTTTTGCTTCAGCTGTCTCTCTTTTGGCTACTAGCTATAGCTTAAATGAAAAAGAATGTGCTTTTGTAAACCTTGTGCTCACATATCCTCCTTCCCTTTCTTCTTGTCTTTTATGTATGAGGAAAGGAAGGGTTTTTTTTATTTTAGAACAATTTTAGAACAAATTGCAGTTTTTATTTGGTGGTATGTGATTTCATCTAAGCAAGGCTAATAAAATTATATCAAGAGAATTATTTGTTTAATCTCTAATAACCACATAAAATAGTTCTTTGTGTGACATATAAAACATAAAATCCAAATAACACAATAAAAAAACACTAAAATCCAAAACAACACAAATAATAAAATGTATTATAAAAAAATAACTGTTGCAGTCAAAATTTATCTTTGCTATATGGAGCTATTTCCTAATAGCTAAAATTTTAAGCGCTGAAGGTGACAAATCTATGGTTTTTAAAAGGGGGAAATATTAATTTTGACTTTTATTTAGGCTGAGAAAGCTTTTTTTTTAAATTAAAAAAATGCCTAAAACTAATGCAAATAACACTATCAAGCAATTTATCTTCATAGCAGCCATTCAGTTCATCTTTGAGTACTTATACCAGCATATTTTGTTGGAACTTACAGAATTGGCAAATCCATATGTCATAAAGTCAAAACAGAAGTATTCCTTCTACCTCCTGGAGGAGAGAAAGCAAGCCACAAGTCTCAGATTCATTCATAATCATCTTAACCAACCTTTCTACTATGATTCAAAATACTGGGTGTTATATTTTCCAACATCTACAGAACACCAGGTTAAAAAAGATTGGTCTCAAAGTAATCATCTGTACCAGTCTCATTTTGTTCATATAGCAAACTTTTTTGTTGGGAACTGCAAAATTCTATGATAGATCATAAATTAGTCCATTACTTGTACTAATGAATTCATACGTCACACTGAACTGTAATTATGGCTTTTATGTGAGTGCAATTCCCATGCTTGTAACCTGTAGCTTATATAAGCTATGTCTTAGTATGATGTGTGAACCAAATTGCAGTCTTTATATGAGTTCATGTTATGCAATCTTTGCTACATTATTTACCAAGTTGTTTCTTCCATTTATAATTAGTAAGATGTTTTACCATTTTTCACAAAGAATCAGAAGGTTGCCACAGTTGAAGAAGATGACAATTTGACAACTGGTCACAAAAGAGCAGTGTTGTTTATGAAACATAATTTATTCTTTCCAGTTATATACTGATGTGAATAATATACCTAAGCAAATCTTACTATTAAAAGTCAGTTGTTTATTCATAATTTCAAAATGTAAAAGTAATATTTTAACATGGCAATATACAAATGATGGTAATGCTGGATAACAACTATCTTCTGCACTCTTTTCCCCCATCTATATTCATTGTCTTTGATGAAAGAGAATTTGGTTCTGAGGAGAAGAGCATTTGAGGAAAATTCTCCTGGGGGGTATGAAGTATGCTTGTAGTTACTTATTTAGCTATGAAGTTACGGTGTTAGCTATATTACACTTGAATTAATTCTCAAGGGTAGACCTATTGGAAACCTCTCTTATTATTACTGGTAATATAGATCTGAAATGTGGAATCTCATTATACTGATAGCATTAACTCCTGTTGCTCCAATGTGTCCTTACTGGCCAAAATAAACAGGTCATTTGTGCCCAGTTCTATTTGACTATAACTTTCTAATTTGGAAGTTAATGGCATTAATGGCATTAATAGCCCTTTTACTGTTTACTGTATTTTTGTGTATTGCAAAATAGAAAAGATAGCTATCAAACAAGATTCATTCCACTGAACCATTCCCAATCAATTCACAGCACCAAATGTGACCAATATATCAGATACTGTTGGATCAGAAATCTTGAATTAACATACCTAACTAGGCAGTACCCCAGTATATATTTTTCAAGCTGCATCAGCTTTCTAATATAATACTTACTTTTTAAAATATATAACTCTGCACTACCTAGGTTTTTTTTTTACTTTTCCCTTTTTATCATTTTCTTCATTAAATGTTTACTAATGTTATTTCTTTATCTTTTGAAAAATTCTGTTGACTTATGTGCCTAGGTAGTTCAGAAAGATTTACTCTATTTCTCTCACCTTGCCTAAGGAATAGTGAGCAGAAATAAACTGAAATGTCACACATTCCCTTTCTAGAACTGGATAAAAAGAAATGATGCAAAACCGCCTTGGCATTTAAATAGCGTATCTATTAGTCAACCTTATAAGAACATTTTGGAATAAACAATAGGGGACTTTTCTAGTGCACTGATGAATCTCGGAATAACAGTTTCTGATTTATCAACCTTTCCCATCACCTTGATTGGTTGCAAAACCTATTGGCCAAAAATAATTTCAAAAATTCCTGCCTAAATATCTTATATAAGTCAAGAAAGAGATACATTCTTTACTAGCAATCACTCAACTTATATGCTGGCAGTCCTTCCAAAATCAGAGACCTTGCTATTGGAAGGAAATGTGAAGGGCTACTTAAAACAAATAAAGATAGATAAAGCCTTACAGGACAAATATGGCCATGTTTACTTGTACCTGAGATGGTTTAGCCAATATTTCCCTCTTTTTAATAGCAAGGATATTAAAATATACCTAGCTTCTGACAGCTGTTTTGTATCCATATCTGAGATCAGCAGAGTAATTAAGGATGGAAGTTGTAACAAAACACATTGAAGGTCTGTCAGTTAACAAAGCAAAGCAGCGACAAAGATATCCTAGGAAAGGGGGGAAAGAATATAATTCTTAAGCAGCATTTTGAGAGCAGGAGTAAATGAGGAGAAGAAATAGTGATGAAAAGAGAAAATATGCCAATTTGGTATGGAAGAAGAACTGAGGCATGTTTACTAGCTCATCTGCCCATCTTCAATCAGAGAAAGGATAGGAGGTCCTAGAGACAATTCCACTTCATTCAGCTACTTTCAAAAATGCCTGCTCTGCCTTTGTCTCCCATTTCAGATGAAAATTTGTGTATGTATGTAGTATGCACCATGGGATTAACCCACAGATTGTCTCTGTATTTTGATGTGGCACTCAAAAGTTCATTTGAAATAGAAGCACTGGCTCATTTTAGCCTTATGAAATCCAAAATAAATGTTTTTTTAAAAACAACAAGAACAAGAACAACAACTAGCTGAAATGAAACAGTCTGCCAATCCTGATAGCAATAGCCACTTGCATTGCATTGGTTCTTTATAATGTTTAATTATTTGAAATGTGAACACTTTAAATTGTATGCTTCCCCGCTCGATTTCATTAGTTATCACATGACAAGCGTAGAAATGCAAAGTGCTATGAAGTCATGCCAATTGATTTGCAATGTTTTATTTACCTCCAACATTTTCTCCATTAAAATAAATAGAAACTTCTGACATGCCTATTCTCATATTTAATATTGCTGATGTTTCCATTGTGTCTGTTAAATGTTATGTTCAATTGCTTTGCAAAAACTAATCTTGTTCTTGCAATGGTTGTTGAAGCTAAGGCTGGGCTTGTAGTTTAATTTAAAGATAAATTAGGGAAGCAAAACATTACAACCACGAAACTATAATCAACAGTAAAACTTGTTGTCTATATCACATAATTCAGAATATGGCAAATGAAATACATGAAATTTACTTTTTATGCATGCAATTTGGCTGCATAAATATATACATACAATAAATGCCTTCATCTTCCCCTCCCTCCACTTCTGTTAGAAAGTTACTAAGGCCATGAGCTCTGTCACTTGGATTGTCCTCCAACTGGTAGGCTGATGACATCCACCTTTCCCTCTTTTCCCCCACCACAGTCCAAATAAGTTGTTGAAATTCTAAATTTGTGTCATTAATGGATGACGATGATGTTGTTTAATGATGTGATGATATTTAATCTAAGATACTATAGGCTAAACCCACGGGATGTCTGTTTGTTCCCTAGAAATTTTTGATATAGTCATGATGGCATGCAACTTATATAAAATATACTTTATGTGAAACTGGGAAAACTTCAGCTGGTCCAAAATGATGAGGCAAGATCTCTGACCAAGCTATAACAAGGAGCATGTGTGGTTTCCTTGTTACAAATTCAATGGATAAAAGTCTGCTTTAGAACACAGTGGACAGTGCTGATTAAGAGCAGCAAAGCCGTATGTTCATGAGACAAATCTGTCTGTGGGGGGGAGGATCACATTGTTCTACATAAAGCTGCCCAGCTTTTAAGATCCTCTGGAGCAGTGCATCACTCTCTCCTGCTATTATCACAGCTTACACTTTAAAGAGAACTTTTTCAATTGCTGCTCCCCAGCACTATTGACACTTTCTTCAAAGGAATCTATGCCAGTTTCATTTTTGTTCTTTTTCTGCTAGGAAACAAGTGCATTTTTTAATTCAGAGAGGCTGACTTGCTGCTGAAAAACCTGAAATCTGGTCTCAGAGTTCCACCCTTATCTACTCCAAAAAAATGAATTGTCTTCGCAAAGGGGGTGTTTGTTATGGGATAGCCGGGTGGTGATCCCAGAACCGTTGCGGCCCTCGGTACTATCTACCCTGCATGAAGGGTACCCGGAGGTGGTGCGTATGAAGGCTTTGGCCTATAGTTGCAACTGGTGGCCAAAGATGGACAGCAACATCGCTTGCCAGGTAGCCATTTGCCAGCCTTGCCAA